TGGGCTACGTCTACACTACAGAGTTTTTGTGTAAAAACATCTGGAACTATAGTGAGGTCCTGGTATTACATGACCAGAATGCAACACTCTAGGCCCTAGTACAAGCCCAAGAAACAATTTCTACCTTCCCCCATACACACTTTTTCATTTACTGTCCATGAGCCCACGCTGCTCCATTTACTGGCCTTCACTTGTTGCTTCATCCCTGTGCCATTTTCTCTTGGAAACTGACTCCCACAAACAGAAATCATGATGTATGGGACAAGAAACTCCTGGCTATCAAAGCTGTCTTTGAGCAATTTCAGTACCATCTTGAGTGGGGCCGTATCTGCCCAAATCTGGACTAGTCAGAAGAATTTGGAACATCTACAAACAAAACTGCCAATATAAAATTTACTGGATCTTTTTCCTTCTCCAATTTAATTTTATGGTTACATATTATCCAGGGACTAAGAATGGGAAGGCAGATGCTCTATCCTGAAAGAAAAAATACCATGAAGTGAAGCCGGAAATTCTCACCACTGTACTTACATCTTCCCAACATGGTCCGCATGACTACCACTCATCATCTGATGATCACCATCTGTTCCTTGCATCCAAGTGACCCATTTGTAGCCCCAATGTGCTAAACTCTAAGAAACAGCACTGTGTTCAAGTTTTCATCAACAACAAGACCTTCTTTATCATGGGGGTCATTTTTTTATTCCTGAGTACAGCTCCTGGCTTCAGTTGTTATAACTGTGTCAATTCACCCTTGGTGGAACATTGTGGACCATTTACAACCTGGAGCCTGACCACTAAGTACTTCTGATGGTCTACCCCATGAACTGATGTAAAATCATGTAGATCATGTTATCTCTGCACCCATACCAAAAAAAATATGAGTCAAGTCTGTGGGCCTCCTTCAGCCCTTCCCCACACTTGTGTGTCCTTGGTCCACTCTCTAAACAGATTCTATTGTAAAGTTTCCACACTCTAAAAGGAACTCAGGTATCATGACCACAGTGAACCTCCCTACTAAGATGTTCAGTTTATTTTCTGACACAATATTCCATCTGGCCACGAAACTGCACAGATCTTCCTGAAGCATATCTTTCAGTACCACAGTATGCCTACATGTGTCATTTCAGATCAAATTGCACAATTTGTTTCTTGGTTCTGGCAGCAATCCTTCTGCCTTCTCAGTACCAAACCTCTCAACTCAACAGCCTATTATCTACAGATAGATGGCCAAACAGAAAAAAAAATAATTATACCCGAGAGAAATATCTCTGATGTTCCCTGAATTTCCATCAGGATGATTGGCTTCCACCGCTGTGTTTGGCCAAGTTCACATACAACAACTCAAGTAAGTAGAGAAGGAACAGATTAAAGCATTGATTTTTTCACCACACAGCATCTGCCAGGATATCTGAACTAGAACAGAGGGAGAAATCAGCTGTGCCAAGTACAAGGATCATGTCCCTTCTCCTGTGAAGGGAGAGAGAATCAGTGATCAACTTCTGATGTGCAGTCATAAGTTGGATCTTGATCTGACCCTAGAGCATTGCAACTGTGAGCTGATCCATAGTCAGAACTTGTGGTAACTCCATGATCAAGCCCCAAATGTTAAATAAGAGTGTGTAATGTGTGTATATGTATTGCTTTACCATAACTATGAACACATAGGAACAAACCAACCCACATCCTTCTAATCATTCATTTTGCTACTAGTGCAGGAAATGGTTTTACTTGGAAGAACGAAATCGAAGATTCAGCACACAATATTAAGAATCATGAAAAATATTGAATAGAAGGTTATAGGATTTGTAATAGGAATCAGGCATCCTACTGTCTCTAAAGTTATTGATAGACTCCTGATTTAAAGAAAAGCTGAATGCACATTATTTCAAAGCACACACAAAACTGCATTATCCATCAATTAACCAACAACTCTAAATCTAATTTTGAACAATTGCAGAGAATGGCCAGATGACAAAATACTGCCATATGTTTGTCTTGTGTTGTAATATGACATTTCTTTGCTGAATTTGCTCTCTATAACCAAATTATAATGTTTACTTTTGATCTAAACAATGCATACATTTCTGCATTTACTGCAATAATATTGCATGAGCTCTAACAGCATAAAGTGACACACAGACATAGAAACAATTTGTTTTTATATGATATTGATTTAAAAAAATGAACAAAGTTTGTGCTCATTCCACGGAGAACAGAAAGAAAACAAAACTAGATTTTTTTCAAGTTATGCATACAACTGCACCAAATCAGACTAAAAACACAGAATATAGAAAACGTTTGTAAATATTTTTGCAAAGGAAGGTTGTTGATCTCCGTCATCCAGTTTACCATTAATCAGGTTCTTAATTTCATCATTGGAGACCTTCAGGATATGTCTACATTCAGGCTAGCCAACAGACTTGCTGGGCCTCTATGCAAGATGGGAGAGGGCAGGGCCTCAGGCGACAGGGGCGGGACTGGGACTAACTTCCTCCAGCCAGCCCTTTAGCACCACTGGAAGCACATCACATGGGGCTCCAGTGGCGATCTCAGGGTTCTGCCTGCTGCTGCAGTGGTTGGGAGCCGTAGGCCCTTTTAAATCACCAGGCTCTGGACAGCTTCCCACTTTGCCCACCCCACTATTGGGAGACCTGTCTACACCCATTCCTGGCCCATGTCAGCTCATTTAGTCTTACAGGGCTCAGGCTACCACATTGTTTAATTGCAATGTTCACGGTAGACTTGTAGAAATATGTTTATGAAAGATTGTGATTTGGAGACACTACCCCATAAGGGGCTATGTCATGAATGTGGGACCTTAGAATTATAGAATCATAGATTAATAGGTAGGAAGAGACCTCAGGAGGTCAATGAGTCCAACCTGCTGCTAATAGCAGGACCTATCCCAACTAAATTATCCCAGCCAGAGCTTTGTAAATCCAGGACTTAAAAACCTCTAAGATGGAGATTTTGCTACCTCCATAAGTGACTCATTCTAGTGCTTCACCACCCACCTCGTGAAATAGTTTTTTTACCAGAGTATCCCAAAATAGCTATCCCATGTCTTCACAGCAAACCTGTTATTTCAGGCTTGTTATTCTGATCTCCCTGTAAACCTCATTCTACAAAGAGTAAGAAACATTTTGGATTAACACTTTATTCTGAAATTTGGTGCTGTGTAGACAGTGTCAAATGATGAAATAAGCTATTTCAAAATAGCTCAAATTATGTATCTTATTCCGAGTTACAGTGCTGCGTAGACACTCTCTGAGAGCAAAGCATGTTTTGAATTCTTTCTAATTACAGGTAAATGCATCATTACAATCTGGTAATTGCTATTCATTATTTGGTGGTTTAGTAAATGAGAACTCCTCAAAGAACACCTAACTTTAGCAAGAATGTCTTACATTTTGTTCATTTTCAGACCAAACCAAATAACCCTTGCTATCAAGAAAAGATTATTATATGGTAGATTTTAAATGGTCACAAAGTGTGATAATTTCACCAAAGCATCTCAAGTGAATGAACTCTTTTTCCATTCCTAAATCCAGGATACTAGAAGCCTGTAGCTAGAACACTATATATATATATATATATATCATCTGAGTGCCGGAGCTTGGTTTTTTACCATGAAATAAAAAGCATGTTCAACCTAGAAAAATTAACATTTTGAACTTCTGATTTTTTTCCCCTGAAACAAACAATTTGACAAAATATACAGGAATTCATAAAACATTCCAGAGTTGGTGAATCGCATTTTTTCCAAAAAAAAGTTTTGGCCAAAATATTTCATCTTCCTCCTGCCTAAAATACTCCACTTCTTTGCCATTTCATTTACATTTTGTTTTTAGTATTCACTATCATAAAATAGCATAACCCTTAAAGAATGAGGTTACCAACCTTGCAGTTCTTTTGCAAGCTAAATTAATACTGCAGCTAAACAAAAATCCTTTAATAACATGAATACTTTCCAAATATATGGAGCTACAGAACCACATCCTGCTATCAATTACAGCCATATATTTCTAGAGTAGCCACATTGAATCTCACAGATTTTTCATGATTGCTATTTCCTCTCCTGTGTGTTCTTCACATCCAGAGTACAAGGTATTATGATTCAAGAGAAAGTTGTTTCCTGGCTGCCCAAATGACAGTTAACTGTGAAAGAACATTAAAGAGCCTGTGATCCACTATTTGCTGAATAGCTTTTCCCTAACTGCTGTGTCTGATATTGAGGTCAGCCAGGGAGAGCTTTTTATGGCACTAATTGACTTCTTCCTCCTCTATTACGGATGGAGATGTAGCTGTAAAATGACTGGATTAAGCAGTTCTTCCTGACTGACATCAGAAATAGAAGTGTCTGCTGGGGAAGAACAGTAAAAATCCATGCATGTCCTTAAAATCCTCCATTCTCTTAAAATTGTTCTTTGGTCTCATCTCTCTCATTTAAATTGTATAGGCTGGGGAGAAGACTGGGATTGTGATGAAAAACCTCAGGAATGGAGACTGGGGATGACTGTACATGGCCCATTCATCTCAAGACACGGTGGTAAGCAGCGGCAGTGACAATCTATGAGTTGTGCTTGGATCTGCAACTTCTTTCATGGCTTGTGCATCAAATATTGGATTTGCACAGTCCATTACAATAGCTACATGCCAGTCTACTTCCATGATGATTAGGTGAAAAATATAGAACTAGCAGTGTGAAAGACATAGGACTGGGACGGAGAGAAAAGATGGATGAGGTAATATATTTTATTGGCTTAATTTTGTTGATGAACCCCAAAACCTTGTCCTCACTAACCTCATCTCTCTAATATTCTAGGACTAACATGGCTACAATAACACTGTATAGGACCGTACGGCATAATATAGGTCTGCGTCCAAGATACTTTGAAAAGGACAGGAATAGAAGGTGGGAGAATGAAAGTCTTTGTGCTGGTAGATTACAAACACTTCCAGAACCTAGAATCAATCCCAAGATTCCTCTACTGTCATAAATATCTGTAGAACTTATGAGCACAGTGTCTTACTCCCTTCTAATGCTGGTCCATGTAGAAGATTGTATCAATTCCACTTTTAGCTCAAGTGTGGTGCATCTAAAGGCTCCAGACTGCTGATTGTCCTTTGATGGATCAAGGTAAGATGGCATGGGATGGAACTTTTGTTTTTTCCATTTGGTTTTTAAATATGTAGGAAATTACCCACCAAAGCCTAACATTGTTCAAGTTGCAAAGTCAAAAATTGGGAAATGCCAGAATTAATGTTTCATGGGATTGATTTAGTCTATAATGTTCATGTTTAATACTGTAGATAAAGAAGGAAGTCTACGTGGAGAAATTGAAAGAGTAACATGCTTAAGACATAGATGTCTTTGTGAGCATTATGACTGTTTTTAGGAAAACATTCTTAGGTTTTTAAAGAAGGATTTATATGCAATAGTCATTTTTACATAATCCATAAATTTACCACACAGTGAATGTTAAAGAGCTCTGACCTTTTGCAATAGACATGTATAT